TACTTAATGACATTATGAAGGTGTACTGAATGTTTTATGAATGCAATACAAAAGCACCATGAAGGTGCAGTTAATGCAAAGCATTACTGTTTATTTACAGTATTTGAAGATTTTTTTAAATTTATTTTGATTTGGGATTTTATTAATAGTATTTTATTCAATTTCAGTTGCACTGTTAAGAAGAGGACATGTTTTGCACAGTTTAGAAAGATAAATAAAGGAATATTTTTGAATAAACTTGTTTGCAGCTCATTCTGTCAAAAAAACGTGAGAAAATTGTATCGTGAACTCAAAATCGTGAATCGTATTGAATCGTGAGTTGAATGTATTGTCACATCCCTAATGTTACTTTTCTTCCTAGCCAAAATATTTAACCTCCCCAGCTCTTTCTTGCCAGTTGGTGAGCTTCCTAGATGGTTTCATAGCACTGCTTACCTGAAGGCTGCTTCTGTTGGTCCAAATATCTTTGCCTCCCAGCTTAATTGGTGATTTTATAGTCACTGTCACTTCAGGATTTCTGAAATGATTCATTACCTTTGAGAAAAGCAGTGGTGTGAAAATCAGTCAGACATTAGTTATAAATCCAGTTTCATTGATAAGAACATCCACAAGGTTGGTGTAACTTGTATAACTGATCCGTATTCATGACTCACGAAAAATATACATTTTAAACTACAATGAATAAAAATGGTATCGGTGATGTGTAGCTTAGCAGATGAGGGATCTGTGCCTATATTTGGATGGTTGTGGGAGAATCCTGAAGCCAGCGGAGTAATCATATCACTCTTAGGATCTTGAGAGACTGTTCCAAGGATGCTGGATACTGGCTGATCTCGTGAATATGTACTTGTCATGGACCACTCTGAGGAAACCCCGTTGACGTCACGCAGGGATTCTCTTTCGCACCCACGGGGGTTTCTTGAGAAGGCAGTGTTGCAGCGACCGAATTGCTCACTCCCCACTGGCTCCGGGAACTGAGAGAAATGGTTACAGTACGCCGCCCTCCGACAACTGAAGCTCATCGGGGTTAATGGATGATCTTACTTATTCGCTTCTGGCACGCCAGCCAGACGCGAGATCTTCAGCATTATTTGCAAGTTCTAGCAGTTCTGTCCCATATCCCCTCCACCTGTCTAGACCTCTGCCTATACCTGCCTGTTATCCTGACTCTGATCTGTTTTCCCCGACGACGATTCTAGCTTTGCCCTCTGAGTGCTGAAGACGATCGGCAGATTTCCCGCCTGTCCCCGGACCTGAGCCTGTCTTGCCCGTTGGATTCCTACGAAGATCGCCCGACCCCCGCCTGTCTCCCGTCCACAAGCCCGGAACCATGTTTTTGAATTTCTTTCCCTGCATTACAGTCCGTTTAATAAAAACCGCCTGTACCTGACTGACTCACTGCGCCGTTCTCCCTCTTCACACGACCCCTCTCTGTGACAGACCTAAATTCTGCCCTCACCTTCATACACGGTGTGCAGAATTATTAGGCAAGTGTGTATTTCACTTGTATCTTCTCATCCGACCAATACTTTAAGTCCAGATGAATCTCTAATTAAGAATCAACTGTTTCAAAACAGCAAAATGTTCAGTATTTGGTCTGAATACTTGTTTTGAATATTTTGTTTTAAAAAAACAAAATAGTAAAGTACCAGTCAGAGGGATGCAAAACGATCGAAACTGCCAGACTTTTGAAATGTGATCACTGTAGAATCAAGTGGTTTGTTGCCAACAGCCAAAGAGGACTGAAGAGGCTTGTAGAGAGAAGATGGGACACATAAACTGCCAAAGTTCTATGTCAAATTAAAGGGGAGACTTCCAGAAACTTTCGAGCATCAAATGCCATCATTTTTCAAAACTGTGCAATCTGAACAGAATCTCCAGACGTTCTAGGTGCAGTGTGCTGTGTGACATTCCTAAGGTTATAAACGCTGAAACAATAAGGCATGTAAGGTATAACATTAAGAACGGGCACAGACACATCTCAAGACTGATGGTACAAAGGTTTTGGGGACAAATGAGATGAAAGTGACTTGATGGAGCAGATGGATGGGCTACTGGATGGAGATCCTCTTCAAGCACCAACAAGGTGGTGGAGGACAGATGACGTGGACGGCAGTTATCAGTGATGAACTTGTCAGACCTTTCTGACTTGCAGATTAACCACAAGGTCTATTGCCAGTTTCTAGAAGATACCTTCTTCAAACACTGGCACAAGAAGAAGTCAGCAGCTTTCTAAGAGGTTATGATATTCCTGCAAGACAATGTCCCTCCCTATGTATCAAAGTATTTAATAGATTGGCCTAGAAAGGCTTGAAACGTGATTCAATTATGGCCTGCCCTCCTTCATCACCTGACTCAACCCCTTTGAGAACTACTGGGCCTTACCAAAGTGTGAGATTTACCAAAGTAGCAAGCAGTACCCTTCTCAGAGCAGCCTCTAGGGGGTGGTCCTAGCTGGCTCAGCTAATATAGGACATGATCAAATCAAAAACCTGATTGGTTCAATGGGCAACATGGTTCATGATGGTCATTGAGAAGAAAGTTGGCTGTACTGGGCATTAAACTGGGTGAAGTGGGCTGTATAGAACGGCTGATAGCTTGTTATTCCTTATATATACTAAACTACAAAAATTGTTGCTGCTGATGGTGAACAGAGAATATCCACTTAGTTTCTGATTGCTTAATAATTCTGCACACTGATAATCAAGCGTTTTTCTTTTATTTTCTTTTGTCAAAGTCAAATGTAACATTTTCTCGCTAAATAAATTTACTTTGTGCACAAGAAAGCTTCTGAATTCTTTTATTTAAGTCTGCCCAACTTTTGCTAAAAATCTCCAGGAATCACAAACGAAATCCAGGAATAGTACTTGCCTAATAATTCTGCATACAGTGTATAAACAGAACCAGTCCAAAGTTTGGGCAGACCAAGTGGTCTACAAAGGAGGGTGATAATGTCACCTCACATTACCTGGCAACCTGACCTTAATCAGAGAGTGAGACACATTACCTTAAATGAATGAAGTACAGGTTGCTTCAAATCACTCTTCCCAGCTGTGAAGTTAATGTAAGTAGTCGATTCCTCAGAGCTTAAATTCAAAATAAAATTGAATATTAATTACAGCTGTCAGCCAAAGACAGAACAAAATTTTAACAGCATACAGTAAATATGAAGTATTTCTTACATATAAAGTAATGCATTTCAAAATACATATTACTTATAAGAAAAAAATCTAATTCATTTATTTAAATACATATTTTTTTTTCCTCTAGAAATGTACTGGGGCCTGGCATAGATATGCCATATAATATAATAATGTACAAACCTTGTCACCTGAAAGTAAACTGAATATT